AAGGGTTGGTTCGAAAAGATGAGTGAGCCATATAAACAAAAAGAGAGCAACCCATTCGCTCCACTGAAAGACACATGTCCGGCTCTATGTTCTCCACCCCTCGCTCCCTCCCTCCCTCCCTCCCTCCCTCCCTCCGTCACCTTCAAGCCCGCAGCCAGCACCTTCTTGAGCTTGGCATTGACGGTTTCGTCCGTGTCGCCGAAGAGTGCCCGGCGCTCCGAGTGCCCGCAAAGGACCCACTGGGCCCCCACGGACTTGATCATGGGCAGGGAAGTGGCGCCCGTGTAGGCCCCCTTGTCCTCGGTGTACAGGTCTTGCGCGCCGATCAACACGTTGCTGCCTTTGAGGGTCTCCTTGACCGGCACCAGGAAGGGGAAGGGCACCACGACCGCCACGTCTACATTGCTGGCGGAGGAGGAGGCGGTGGATACCTGAGAGGGAGGAAGGACGTGAGGTAAAGGAGGAATAAGGGAGCATTTGAGGCCAGGAGAATCGGCAAAGCCCACACGTGAAAGCTCCAGCAAAACAAACAAAAGCAAACAAAAGGGTGATCTGCGATAATCCAAAGTGTTTTTACAGTAGGAGTGTGTCATCCCGTTCACGTACCGCTTTGGCCAGGTCAATCGCGGCTTCCAAAGTATCAGGGTTCTCTTTCCAGTTACCCGCGATGAAAGGCCGGCGTCCAGACATCATGCTCACTCCCGTGCCACGGCTTACAGCCCTGCTACACCTCCTTGTCGCCACAGGGCTACTGGGACGAAAGGCAGTGTGCGGGATAAACGCCGTAGCAGACGCAGCCAACATGGCAACCGTCCAGAGGCAGAGAGGTCGCATCATGATCTGCCTGTATCCCGGGGTCGCACAAGGCAAGGGGAAAACCAGAAATAGGCTCAGAGTTAAACGATACTCGCTGTTCATTACGGACGTCACACGCATTGAACGTCCAATTCATGTTAACACGCAAAACAAGCCCGGCTAGTCACTGCTGCGTGGGCCCTGGCTCGCGTCGCCGGTCCAAGAAACAAAGATGAAGTGTAACAAAATGCCATCGAAGACCATGAAAACCCATCGTGGCGTCTCCAACAAGAACTTTCCTATTCCCCAATACCATGCACACGCCTGACTGCTCCTCAGGACGCAAACCTGACACAGACCAGCCCCGGCCTAGCTTGCCCTCCCCCTGCCCTCATCTTGCAGCGGCACGTCATGTCCGCCCCCGGTATCTTCCGAGCCCCCCGGCCCATATCTCCGCAAACAACTGCTCCAGGTGGTCAGGCATCCGGTGCGAAGAAGCCAATGCTACCTTTGGCCGGAGATAAGCTCGGGATGAATAAACTGGGATGGAAATCGTATTGGTTTTTGAAAAGCGATTTGCTCGGCAGGAGGTATGAATGAGGCAGGAGAGGAGTCGCGTTTGGCTCCCGAGAGACAAGCAACCCTCCGACATCGTGTACGGCATTTTTCCTGACATTTCAAGTCTTTTTTTTGCATAAATAAGTTTATTAGCTTTATTAAAAAATACGTCAATTTCAATTCATCAATAGAAGCAACACAAGGGTGTCGTTGGCTGATTGATGCTTCTGGAAGCCGCCCCCAGCCCGAAGCCGAATCACAATACATGAATCAATGCAGCATATTTTTTCGGAGAAAAAAATCCTAATTATTTCCGATTTACAATTGATCGTGCAAGGGATGGCAGCCGGTACCTTGCCAAAAGGAGTCTTCCGTTGACTGTGAAGAGAGCAGCAGAAACGTTCGACAGGCTTCACGCAGACAGTCTCTCGCTGTTGCCCTCCGGCGGCGTGAGGCTCACGTACATGAAGACGCGAGGAAGTATGCCTGTCGATCATATGGAAAGCATGCTAATGCAGTTATGTTGCCGACGTGCATGGCATAGATGAATGGCTATCGACTCAAGTTTGTTTGCTTGTCCGGTAATGGGGTCCTGATTACATATTACCTTCATTTTGCGCGCATCTCCTTCTGAAAAACAAGACATGATTTCAACAAGCGATCACGATAAATTGACAAACGTGTGCGCGCTCAACACAACGTGCACGTTTAAGACCGGAAATATGAAGGGAAAACATTTGGTGGGGAGGTTAAGCAGGTTTGAAAATAAATTTATGCATGGAAATGCACAAATTTTCCACAAAGTTGATAGGTGTGACGGTATTGGTGTCTCGCTATGAGAAAGCAATGAAATCAAATGCGTGTATTTGAAAGCCTCGTCTGATTGCATGCGATCGACATGTCAAGTCCATCGAGTCAGACATAATGATGGCCCGCATACCGTGTAGATTACGATACAAGTCTACCTCTAGATTTTTACACTTTTGAAACGAAGCCATATGTTGGAAGACGAGACACAGACTAGAATCTATCTGACGGAAGTGGCGGGATGAGAGGAAGCCTGGCTATTTGCCAGAAAGGTGCGTCTTAGGCGGAAAGTGAGCGATGATCGATCTGAGCGAGTGCAACAGGCTGAAGAGAGCGGCGTGACCTTTGAGAGACAGCGCGCCCGTCCCTTAAAGTGAGCAGGTGGCAAAGGGAACTCCGGAATGGGACACGTGCAGGCATCGCAATTGTACTTTTCCATTCTCGAACGAAATGGCCCTTCTTGTCATTAATCGTTTCGTAATCCTCACTTGTTTACCGACGAATAATATATGTCGCCATTTACAGTCTAAGAAAAAGAGGAGGTACTCCATTCGAAGCCGGAGACAATGCCCTCATCATCTCCCGCTCGGAGAGCGGGAAGTGGTCGCAATGGAAGTGGCAATAGTCCCAGTGGCGCAAAGGCAGGTCTGGGGGGAGGCGAGTGGGATTTCGCCGTCCGCCCTGGGAAGTACACAGAGCTCACAGGGACAGGCCGCCTGGGTGGGAGTAGTGGTGGGGCCTATGGCTTGGAACGCAGCGACGTAAATGCCGGATCACCGCTCCGAACGAACGTTGGGAGTCGGGGCTTAAGTATCAATTTGTTCGCGTCGAACGCCTCATCGGCCCTCGGTGAGGAGGATAGCAGTGTCGACATCCCCTCTTCCTACATGGGAGATGACTCAACCGTCTCCTCCTGGCCCACCTCGCCACGGAATAGCCTGGATCAACGGACCTGCTGCAACCTCATCTCGTACCGGTATTACTTCATCACCACCCTGCTCGTGGCGTCGGTCCTGTTCGTCTGGGCCTCTGTCCTGGGCTTTGTCTGGGGCGTCTTGCTATCGCTCGGGGCCATCATCGCCCACCTTGCCTACTTCCGTCTCCTCCTCCGCGGCGTCCAACCGCCTGTAGGGGTGGCGAACACCAGAAAACAGCGATGTTTGCATTACACCGTGCTGCTATTGTCCTATGTGATAATGATCTACATGCTCATTCGCCTGGCGACGGCTAGAAATACCTACATTCGAGACCACGTATTTCCCTCAAATTGCTACCCAAATGCGCTGGGCACTGTGCCTCATGCGTGTGTTCGTGTGACGGAGCGTCCAATGGAAGGAGAAGACTGGTCTCACGGCCTGAGCGCTCCGACCATTTTCACGCCGGAGGTCGACAGCGTCGTGCGCCTTGTCGACGCCTGGACAAGGAAGCAATTCCAGACAAAGGTGGTGGGAAGGAGGAGGGAGGCAGGGAAGGAGAGCGTGCACCTGGTGGCAGTGACAGGCTTCTGGGGCTTTGTGGATGACGTGGCCGTGGAGGTGGCCTGCGTCGGAAGGGGCGGGGCCGGGGAGGGAGGGAATGGAACGGTCGTCGTGCGTGTGCAAAGCGAGCAGCGGTTCGGGACCCTTGACGGGGGAAAGAACAAGGATCGGGTCAAGTCTCTGCTAAGCTTCTTGGAGAGGCAGGCTGGAGGCCTGCCCGTGGGGGCGTGCTCCCCCACGCCTCCCCGGTAGGAGCATGCCGCACTACCGCGATGTATACTAGGTAAAGTAGAAAGTCGGCCTACCAGAAAACACTTATCGCCAAGGATGTAATAGGTTTATGCTCAAAGCAATGTGGCCGCAAAGGGCTTTGTAAAGTATCCGTAAACAAGTGGAGGGCGACTTTGGAATGAGAAGGGGTGCTTGGAAAGAAAAGAATGCGACGGAGCTGCCTTGCAGGATGAGACACCGCATTTGGAGCTGAGACGAGTGTCTCGAAGTAATTTTGTGTGTAAGATATGTAACATGATATGACTGGTACCCGAAGCATTGATCTGTGGGTTCAGAAAAAAGTAAATCAATGACACATTCAGGAAGATACGCCGACGCTTCCTTGATCCTGAGAACAGCAAGCAGCTTTTCTTCGATATCGCCTTGTAGAATCAAGCTGAGTAAGTTTTATAGTACTTTATGGTATAGTCTTAGACATACGAAAATCATTGCCAATTTCCGATTGATCTTTCTCACTGCGAATATACAATGTCCCACGACAAATTTCAAATTCAAATATCGTCACGGTCGAGTGGAGGCCACTCGTGTCCTGCACTATAGCACGCGACAAGCGCCAGCTATACGACCTATTAACCCGCCAGTGCTGCGTTCCCTCCGTCGATTACATTTGCTTTTTCACCTTCTGGACGGCATCTTTCAACAAATCCGGCGTGTTGAAGACTACCTCTTCCCACACGGTCTTCACGTTCACCAATCCTGTCGAGAAAGGGTATTGGGCTTTGATTCCCAACTCTCTCAGTCCAAAGAGGATCCAGGTCATGAGCCCTATCACTGGTACCAGCGCGCCTCCAGGTATTTTGTCGACGAGAGCTAGGGGAAGGGTGAAGACGTAGAGGGTGAGGAATCGGAGGGCGTGCGTGTAGAAGATCGGGGGCACCGGCGTCTTGGTCAGGCTGTGAATCAGCGTGGTGTGGTGTCCGAGTTGATCGATGCAGTTCAGCAGCCGACTGAAATAGGGACTCTCTCGAAACGTCGTTTGCGCCCGGGCAATGCGAGCCACCTCTTGGGCCATTATTTCGATCAATGCCACCGGCCTGTGGGTCCGGCGTGCCTCTAGGACGAGCAAGTCCTGCTCGCTCAGAAGCTCCTTCAATTCATCCTCCCGGGGGATGCGCGTCACGAACTCCTCGAGAAGGATGCCGTAGGCTTGGATCAAGGCTATCAGGCGCCCGGCGGGGAAGGAGTACTTATCGTCCGAAAGCAAAATATCGGCCCCCCCCACGCATCGAGCCATGTCGCGGGAGGTGTCGAGGACGGTATCCCACGTCCTACGCGCTCCCTGGCATCGATCGAAGCCTTGCTGCGCCCGAAACGTCAACAAAAACCCCAGAGGCCCAGCGAGTAAGGAATGTGGCTGAAGGTCGAGCGCGCCTATAACGCCGTGTTTGTATGCCAGGGCTACTACAGCGGAAAACACCATGCTTAAAAATGTAACAGGTCGAATTTCGGGCATCAAAAATGCATAAGTAGTAAACCAGTACGCAAAATGCTCGGCACTTTCCTTCCGTTTGGGAGGAGCGGGTAAGGGCGCCTCCTCTGATGATTTGTCTGAGTTCAGAGTTGGCGCTTGAAGGCTCGCGCTAGATGTGGAGTAGAGGCAGGACATCCCGTTTGGCATTCTTGGAAAAGGACGAAGAAAAGTGTGCACATGGTGGTAAAATGGCCGGACGCGATCAAGCACAGGTAGCGGACGCAGTGGCAATCGGACGTGCAGTAAGGCACTGCACCGGGGTTGTCCACTAATAGAAAAAAGGAGAAAGCTCACCATGGCGGTAGTCTGCATCATGATGCAAGGGTGGCAGGCACTCTGCTAGATTATATGAATGAGTCCAAGTTATGTTCAACACACATTCGGACGTTCCTTTCCTCGTCTTCGCGCCATCCCCCATGTTGAATGTGCACGCCCGCTGTCCTCCGTCTTCACCGGAACAAAAAAGCGACAAAACGAGCCACATACGTGCTAAAACCCGGCCGGGAACGTCCAACCCGGTCCCGGCCGCGTTATCCCCGACAACAACACGACACAAACGCACAATCCACCATAAAACACGGCACTTGGTAAATTGCGGGGGATCGTCTTTGCATTTGTTTGCAGAGGAGGGTACAGGAACTTGACGATGTGGTCGGCGTCAGTGAGGGATGACTGACCAGATGTTGTTCTTGATACGCCTGACATTGAGGTCACTCTCCCGGTCCTGCCTTCTGCTCCGCTATTCTGATTCTGAACTGCGGTTGTCATGCGGACCGCTGCAGTTGCCTTGTGGGATTGCACGAGTGATTCTAAGTGGCATGGCAATCGAATTGGATGAAAATTCATTTCGTAGCTTGTCTCGAAGTTTGTGCTGAGAAGAGAACTTTTCCGGCTAGCTTGTCGATCCACGAGGGGATAGCCGACAGGCGGGAGGCCAAGGACATTCATGATTTACCCCTTAGTCATCGTAGAGCGCGCATTTGCAATTTAATAACGAATCATGGCGTGAGATAATGTGTTGAAAAATAATTATGCCATCAATCTGTCTTTTCTCTGACGTTCGTGAAAAGAGCAAAGAACACACGTACGCGTTCCGATGGCAGCTGGGCATGGGGTACGTAGACTTACAAAGCCCTCACATGGATGCTTTCTTTTCGTCTCGCATACAAATAGGCGGATACGACGTCCAGTATAAGATCCAGACATTATATGTCATACCTTGTGTCCGACATTTGGTGCCTGGCCTCAAAGAGGTGCCTTCTCCTTGCTCTTCTGTCGGTAGTCTCGTTCCCGACATGTGCGGACGCTGCCGCACCCCCCTCGAGACAGTCCCGCGAGCTAATTGGCAAAGATGCAGCCATCAGCAAAGCCGCATGCTTCGGCTCTTACCCAAGGCTAGTACAGAACACGTGTAATTTCCCCCGGCCTTGTTTGATTCGTACCAAACCTTCCAAGTCATGGAATATTCCAGGGATTCGCATCTCATTTGATTGTGACAAAATTTATGTATTTCCAGGCAACTCGTCGTACGGAAGCTTCAGCCAGGTCAATTAATTACCGCGGATGGCCAACTGGATGAAGAGGCTTGGGCGGAGACTCCTTGGAGTGCTCCTTTTGAGGACATAGAAGGAGACCTGGGACCTCCTCCGCAATTTGAAACGAAAGGCAAGGAGCAGGAAATATGTGGGAGGTCTAAAGGGAGGATCAGGGAAGAATGGCTTCCGGGTCCGGCATTTATAGGAAAGAAAGGCGTTATGTGCCTTTGAAATGAGCGGTTACGCGACAGGCATGCGGAAAGACACTCTCATCCTGGCTTCCGATCCTCTCCATTCTCAGTGAAGATGCGCTACGACGATGACTGTCTGTGGGTGGCGGCGTACATGGAAGAGCCACAGGCATGGGCGACGCAGCAAGAGACCAATAGCATCGTGTATTTAGACAACGATTTCGAAGTATTTGTAGATCCGAATGGAGAGTAAGTAACGAGGAGGCGCGAATGACGACAGGGTGGTGGAGGCGCGACTTTGTGGACCGGGGGGGCAGATCTTGCACTGGGATAGGGTCATGCGGTACAAGCAAAGAGATCGAAATGTCTTACTCGAATGGGCACCATTACTCACGCTCATCATGCGCCTTTCCCCTCATCCTTCTTCCTCCTGCCGCCTCAGTAACCACTACTACAAAGAGGTGGAGATCAACGCGCACGGCGCCAGCTGGAACCTCCTCCTCGTCCAACCCTACGTGGACGGCGGCCCCGCTGTCTGCAATGGCACGCTCGCCACCATGTGTGCCTCCAACTACTCCTCGCCCTCGTCCTCGTCCTCGTCCTCCCCCGGCCCCTCGGTCCCCGCCTGGGACCTCTCCTCCTCCCTGAAGGCGGGGGTCTCGGTGGACGGGGCACTGAACGACCCGGCCGTCGGGAGCAAGGGCTGGAGTGCGGAAATGTGCCTGCCGCTGAAGGAATACGTCAAGTACGAGGAGGGGGTGAATCTGCCGCCCCGCGGGGGTGACTACTGGCGGATCAACTTCTCCAGAGTCCAATGGACGGTGAAGGTGGCGAGGGAGGGCGGAAGCGAGGTGTATGTCAAGGACGAGGAAGCGCCCGCTTCGAATTGGGTCTTCCAACCCATGGGGGTGACCAACATGCACTTGCCAGAGCGGTGGGGCTACGCGTATTTCTCGGAGGAGCCAGCCAAGGGCGGGAGGCAGGGAGGGAGGGAGGACGTGATAGAGGAAGGCCCTCGCGATCCGAAGTGGCCAATGCGGGAGGCGTTGGCGCAGGTGTACGAGGCACAGAAGGTGTACACGACCCTCTACGGCGGGGGGGTCTCCTACACAGACAGCGTGAACGCGCTGGTGTTGAATGGGCACTTGTCCACGCACGTGGCGCAAGGCTTCTGCGCGGGGATTCCGGAGATGGAGAAGACGGGGGGAAGCGGGGGCGCTCAAGGAGGTTTCGTCGCCTCAGTTCGCAGCGCGGATATGGCTGGGGTGATGGGTCACGTGGATGAGACCCGGCGGATGTGGTTCACGGGGGAGGATGGAGCGGGGCGAGGGAAGGAAGGCGAGTCTCCGGATCGGGAGGTGCCCCTCCAACGCCCGCATGAGCAGCCGGCGGTGAGTAAAGGAACGGGGTCAGGTCGCAGACGGGGAATGCTGCGGGTGTAGGGTAGCCGGCAGGGAAGGCGACGGCTTTTGTGTTGGAAACCGTGTTGTGCGTGTAGGGGGTCTCAGAAGGGCAGAGTGCAAGTGTAACATAGCACCACGCAGCATTAGAGCGGCATGTACCATGGGAGTCAGCCACGCAGTGAACGCGTCCTTATGAAAAGTCAGAGCGATAATGCGCACAAAGGAAAGTAGCAGCGAACGAACAAAAGTCCAGAGGCGGGGAGGAGCTGGCGTCAGGGGACGTCAAGCACAGGAATAGTTGCCGAAACGGCAGTGCTGTAAACCAAACGCTGAATAGATTAGAAGCAGTCAAGGTCTCGGAAAACGGTGGAAGACTTTGCTACGCATGAAGAAGATGTTGGTGCCGACTCCTAGGTCGACCAGATTTTGTCTCTCGGAGGGTGTACTCGCAGAATATCAGGAGTAAAGGAGGAAAGTGCTGGATGTGAAGCGACGGTCGTGCCGTGGAGCACACAACTACTGATTACGAGCGTGACAAACGACGACGTCGTAAGGGATGGAGGATTTGCAATCGCATGGAACGGACAGGAGCAGTTTGTCTAAATGATGGGGAGCTATGTAGAGCTGACATTGATGGAAGCCACACACAGTCATGAGTAGATCAAAGGTACATTTTGGATATGATGATTAAATCAAAGACAAAATGCTTTCGTTATTTGTGTCATCAAGTTTTCTCACGGTCGCGTTGATGCTTTAGAAATGCTTAGTCACGAAAACAGGAAGCGGAAAGGAACGAGGGAGAGGGCCAAGGTCTGAGGTCTGAGACGACCGACATGGAGTGAATAATGGCCATCTCTCGAGCCGATGCACGGCTAGTAACTCATAAAAATTATTGTACACGTAGCCCTCGCCCCGCTTCTCCCCATTAGGGATTAACTTCTAAAATAAGCCGGCGTCGTCGCATAAAAAAGGGATTAAGTAAAATTGAAAGAGGGAAGGGAGGTTGCTCTCTCGCTCGAAGCCAGTGATGACGATGTCCTATCGAACCTGACTCCCGCCCTACTCACCATCAAGTATTGCGGCTTCCCACTCTGGTGTATGTAGGCAAACTGTGCACCGTCGGATTCTCACGTGCGGTGGGCATCGCGTTCGAAGCATATTTGCCTGCATTTCCTCAAGCGATGTCAACTCTCATCTATGCTCTTTCCCTTTGGCACTGGACCAAGTCTACCATGACAGATCAAAGCGCCGGGAGACCTATGTTGCTCCTGTTACCTCTTGCTCTTCTTCTTGCCGGAGTTCGTGCTTGGACCATGCCAAAGCCACTACTGCTCACGCGGGTAAGTGCTCTTGCATCCAGCACGACGGGAAGTGATGAAGTATCTTTTCTCCGCCTGTCTCTTGCGCCTGAGTAGTCATACCAAGCTGCACCACTTAGCCCTGAGGGTCGCGCTAAGTTTACACAGATTTTTACTACATTCTTGTTCATGTGCTCAAACTTTCCCATCGTCCCCTGCGCGACAGCCCTCCTTGTCTCGGTCTTCCCTCCTTGGCCTATCCCGCCCTGGCCACATTAGCCCCCCACGCTTCCCCTCCATCGCCTCCTCTTCGTCCACCTCTCATCTAACCCGCCGCATGGCCACGGAGGACGGCCCAGAAAAAGCCAACAAGCTCCCGATGCTCCTAGACGTGGAAACCCGCGGAGGTATCCTCTTCGTGTCCACACTCGTCACCGCCGCCATCTTTGCGGGCTACAACGTTGCCACGGCCCTGGGCGTGGACGGGTTGCAAGCAGGCATCTACATCTCGGTGGCCATGACCCTGGGTATGGTGGCGTGGACCTTTACCTACATCTTCCGGGTGGCGAACAAGGACATGACCTACGCGAAGCAGCTGAAGAATTACGAGGACGCTGTCCTGGCCAAGCGGCTGGAGGAGCTGGAGGAGGAGGAGGTGGAGGCGTTGATGGAGGAGGTGGAGAAGGAGGGGGCCAATATGAAACAGGGCGGGCTGTAAGATCGTGAAATTTGTATTTTGGTGCGATGCTCAGGCAGGGCACTCCAGGCGCGGGAGGAGGCAGATGTATCGGGAGCAAGAGGAGGTAAAGGCCCGAGCAGTGGATAGCCACATGCCGGACGCCGACGCAAATCGCAAAAGAATAAAAATCTGTGAACGTTGCACCAAGTAATTTGTTTTGATTCTGAATCTACCGCTTTACATACCCATGAATGGCTGAGGCTCTCCATCTCTCTTCCATCCCTCCTAGCCTAGCGCCGACACCGTCACCCTCCCGACGAACTTGTTCCTAAACGAGCCTAACAGCAGGTCCCCCGTCTCCGGGTGGACGTGTACCTCGCTCAGGAAAGGCGTGCGCCCGGTGGGATCCTGCAGCACCCGCAGCAACCGCCCCTCGAGAGAGAGCACGCCGGCCACCCCGTATTTGGGCATGAAGTAATGGAAGTACGGCAGGGGGATCAAAGCCCCCAGGAGCAAGCGGAGGGCCAAGTGCTGGTACAGAAAGTGGAGGAGGGAGAAGGGCTTGGCGTTTTTCACCCCCATACCCAGCATGAGCACCGCCTCTTCTCCCTCCCCCCCCAGCCATCCCTCCTTGCTGCACGCCCCCGCTTCCTCACGTCGCAACAGACGCAAGTTGTCCGGCAGTCCAGGCAGGCCCTCCACCAAGACGCTCGCGAAAGGCGGGAGCGCGCTCTCCTCCTCGCAGGCCTGCAAGGCTCGAGCCTTGACGTCCTCCTCCGCCCTCGCCCAAGCCCCCAAATCCACTTTCAAAATGCGGAAGCGCGTACTCTCCACCACCAGCACCGACGCCGGCAGTCTCCCCGCTCGCGTCTCTTCCTCCTCCCCCAGGACCTGCACGCCGTTGGCGAAATGCAAGCCGCAGAGGACGGGCTCCACCGCCCCCGTGGCCCCCACATATCGAAAAAGTCGGCCCCGAGGGCCTCCGTCCAAGACCTCGACCGCGTGCAGGGCGCGGGACCAGGCCCACGTCGAGTCGGAGAAGAAAATGTCGCCCGTGGAGGCGACCACGGACAGGTCGTTGGTGAAACCGAGAGGGGCGCGGACGCCCGGGTGCAGGGCGGGCGAGGAGGAAGAGGAGGGAGGGGGGGTCGAGGCGGAGGGCGCTACCAGATGGCGCACGTGGAGGGTGACGGGGTCGAGTGTGAAGATGCCGTGGTAGGCGTCCGCGATGTACAACTGGTTGAGTTCTCGAACAAAGCGAAGGCCCAGCGGCCTCCCGCAAAGGCTCTCGGTGGACGTGGAGAAGCGCATCGCGTCCATCTCGGCACTGCACCACGCCATGAGACTCCGTTCCTGCCCGCCATTTGGAAGCCTCCTTTCTCGAGCGTTCCCGTCCTTTTGACCTGCTTTTTCAGCCTTGACCACCCCGCCCGTGAAAAACACGGTGGTCATGTTTCCGTACTTGCTGTCAGTACGTACGATCCGGCCGTCATTCAGGCTGAAGTACATTTCCTTCTCGCTGCCCACCGCGATCGATTCAGGCCCTACCACTCGGTTTAAAAATAGGTGCTCCGCCCCTGCCAGGTCGTGATTCACCAATAACGAGACAAGCTCGGGAGGTTCCTTCCAAAGCACGGGCTTGAAAGGCCCGTGTAAGATTTTGAAGGCCAAAAATGATCCAATCACCACAACCACGGCCATGAGGACATAAAACGGTGTTATGAAGGGCAAATAGCCCATACCCTCCTCGGACACGCCTTCCTCCTCCCCACTCAGGCTATTGCCCTTTCCTGTTCTAGAACCGGCATTTCCCGCAATTTGTGACCGTGTTCGTGGTGGCATCTTCCTACTGGTGGTACGGATAAGCAAAAGAGGAGGAGGTAGATATGACGAAGTTGATTCGAGAGCGGGCCGTATGAACCGCAGTGTGAAATCGTAGACTTCTATTTCCATTCTGTAAAAGCGCCTTTTACACATCGGTACATTTTGAAACGATGTTCACTTGTGTTAGGGGTCGAACTCGAGGACCTTATCCTGGATATAGAGGATGCGAAGTCTATCCCTTCAACCTCCCCTCTCGGGCCGCATTCGTCACAGTGCCCAAATACCAGAGGCGAGCTGTGTGTGTGAGAAGACCAGTGTACTTCGTCTGCTCCATTCAGCATTTCTGCATAAATCCCTTAGTACACCGGTACAGCTACGAATCGTCTCTCTATTCGCTCACATGTCATTCCTTTGTCAATATGAACCACAGGCTTGAAGGAGGGTACGTCACCGTCTTCACTTGCACAGAGTACGGCACACAAATCCTCTCATTTTAGAATGCCGCCACCGCATTCCTCTTTTCTCTCGCCATTGCGTATGCTACTTCTATCCAATGCTTTGGAAATGCTGGCGGTAGCTTTGGTGCTACCAGCCTACCCAGACCTGACGAAAGCCCTAGGTATTAGCCTCCAGACGCGAGGCCTGATGGTATCGCTTTTCTCTCTCCTCCAATTCCTGTCAAGTCCGATACTGGGTAGAGGAAGTGATGTTTTGGGCAGGAGTTTTATGCTGCGCGTGTCTGCCGTGGCGTCCTTGTTTTGTTACGTGTGTATGTTGGTGGCAAAAGATCAACGAACATTTATGCTCGGACGGGTCTTACCAGGCTTCTTCAAATGCAGTATATCTGTCTCCCAGGCCTACATTTCGGTAAGCGCCCCTATCTTCACCCCATGCCAATTATTTCCTCAATATGTACTCCATCCATCCCTGCTTCCCTTCCTGCAGGACATTAGCAGCCCCCAGGTTCGCGCCAAGAACATGGGCATGATGGGGAGTATGTTTGGCCTTGCCTTCATCATCGGACCCGCAGTGGGCGGGTTTTTGATGTCCAAGGACCCTTGGCTGACGGTATGGGTGGCCTTACTGGCGACGGCGGCGAACTTCATCCTTCTGCTCTCCTTACCTGAACCCTCTACCCACTCGGCCCCTCCCAATCTGAGAGGAGAAGGAAGCGAAAGGAAGGCAAACGTTCCCAATCCGAAAGAAGAAGGAAGCGAAAGGAAGGCAAATGCCAATGGTACCACGGCTGTCAACGGCAAGGGAAGTGTGGCAAGTAGGTCTAAAGATGGAGTGTGGGATTTGATCCGACACGGCCCTCAGGGAGGGCAGGTGGCCGTGTTGCTGGCGCGCAAGGTCTTTGTCGCCATGTCCAGCGGTATATTTGAGACTAGCTTTGCCAACTACGCCTCCAAGCATTTGGGCATGGACGGGCAGACGCTGGGACTATTGCTGAGTTTTTTAGGTGTAGTCTCGGTCGTAAACAACGTATTCATCGTTCGGTGGCTGTCGAACAGTTTCCAGGATCATCAGCTCATTTTCCCAGCTATCGTAGGCCAAGCATTTTCCACATTTTGCTGGGGACATGTGTACAACCTTGCCAGTTTGCTGCCTGTCTTAGCCAGCTTGACGATAACAGGATCCATCTTCCAGACCTTGCTCTCCACCGAGCTTTCCACTGTCACGCCGCACGCTCTCGTGGGTACAGTATTGGGAATCTCTTATGCCATTGAGACGTTCGCGAAGATATTGACGCCATTTCTGGGTGGTTACCTCCTTGAAAGACACGGTGGGCATGCCTTAGGCTTTGTGTCAGCACTGTTTTTGCTGCCTGTTTGCGCACATGTAGCTTTTACAGAATTTTTTAAAGTCAGAAAGGTCGTCCAGGAGGACAAAAAGGAGAAATAAAAGGTCGTAATGTGTACAAAATGAGAAGCTGCATTTCCAACGTCTTATTTGCTTGAAATCTGTGCTACACTAATTTGTAGTCGTTCAAACATGCCTGACGAACTTGTCACTTTTCTGATACGCTTTTGCAATAACGAGGTTGCCATTCTTGTGAATTACGGACCTGTCACGCCAAGAAAGTCCAAAATATAGCGCGATCCAGATTATACCTTTTACTATCGGCATCTTTCCTAGCATTATTTCGGATTTGATTGGAGGCTGGCAGCATAAATATAGGAATCAACCAGGGACCGAACGCATTAATCTCCACTCATAAGAGACCTACACGCGTACGCGTACCTTGCCTGACAATCAACACATGCACAAATCTCAGTTGGATAGCACATCGTAAGATATACTTCATCGTTTTTAATTGTGGAAAAAAGGAAATGGGACGCCACGATAGACGATGCGACGAGCGTGGGAACGTAGGCCGGTTTTTCGGAAATTGCTCTTATGCCAAGATCGGATGAGAAACCGTTCGAGGTAAAAGTCAACCGGACGACCTGATACACGGTGGCATGTTCTCTTACAACGATAGAGAGAAGACAAAGAATGGGCAAATGTCAGTTTAGATGGGTTTTCCATACTACCCTGTCGCGGGTCTGTGTACTGACATGGGTCCATCTCCCGGAGGGGCCCTCTATCACGTCGCAGGTAACACACGGCTAATTTAAATTCTGGTGCGAGGGTTTGAACTGGTCATGCCGCCACTCATGAAGACCTCGCCTTCATTCACCATTGCTTTGTAAAACAGAGGGATGCAAGGCCTGATTGAAGAAGTCTCTGCGGCCACAGCCGATTGTCCTTCCTCCCCCGCGAAGGAGCACTTCAGTGACCGTGGCGAGGACGAAGTGATCCATGAGGAGACGACAGCCTCGCATCCCCCCTCCCCTGACACAGCGGGAAGCGCCACAGACTCGCTCATTCGAAGCTTGATGGAGGAACTGAGTGCTGCCAAGGAAGAAATTGCCCGTCTGACGAAAGAACGCGCCTATTTTAAGCGCAAAGCCGAATGGTGTACCATCGAAGATCAACGCATTCTCTCGCCCGTCATCACGAGCACGGACCATTGGCAAGAAAGAACTTGGCTCTTGCTGCACGAGCCCATACGCAGCGCTCTATTGGATTTCGAAGAACTAGTTGCGTCGCCCTCCTTCGATCCAGTGCAGTACCCTTGGAAAGTGACCAATTTTTTCTACTTCTTCAACACGGCCTTCGCTCCCTATGTCCGTCGGCACCATCAGGTGGAGCAAAAGATTTACATTCCCTGGGTGGCCGGTAAAACGGAGATTCCGGACGAGGTCAGAGGAGGATATGATGGAATCGAAGAGTTGATACAAGAGGTGGAGGCCAGCGAGGCCGAATACAAGTCCTTGGAGAGAGCGATCCGAAAGGGGAAAATCCCACCGGCGAGCGTGGAGACAAGCGTGGTTCGGTCCGACACCTCGGCCCCGTCTACCTTGGGTCCCTTGTCGCAGGGGCATGAGGATATAAAGGCGAAGAACAGGGAGAAGGCTCCTGACGAGGAGGGCGGGCCTGCGTCGGCCCCTGCCTCCCTGCCTGCCACGTCCCTGGCATCCGCTCCTGCTCCATCCCCCAAGAATACCCCGCTATCTAGCAGGTCTCTCTACGACTGGCGCCGTCGCCTCATAGCACGCCTGGACCGCCTCTCCCACCATCTCATCGTCCACATGGACCAGGAGGAATCCTTCTTTCCCCCCGCCGTCCTCCGCTACTTCTCCCAACACGAGGAGGAGCGGATCCTCGAACAAATGTCCTCGGCCAGCGCCGCCCACTTGGAGCTCCCCATGGTGCTACTGGCCATGGACGTGTGGGGGTCTCCGGAGACGAAGGCGGCCTTCCTGAAGAAGCTCTCACGGGCTGCCCGCTACACCCTCAACACGTACTGGCTTTCCTCCTACAAGAAGAGCGTGGCCCGCTCCCTCGAGTCCCTGGCCCTGCAAGAGCCCCCGCCCACGGTCTACCTGCCCCACATGTCTGTGAACCAGCTCCTGGTCGCGGCCCCCGTCTTCTTGCTCTGCACGATCAGCTGACCCGGCCTGGGGGCTGGGCGATGGCCTCGTCGGAAAGGGCCAAAGGGCGGGCGTGGGGGGTATAGGCGGTGGAGCTTGCATGGGAGGTTTCATAGGGTGGGCGGTGTGTGTGCAGATGGTGGGGCGGGAGGGTGAAGAGTGTACATGCACGGGATATTCGTCGCTAGAAGGGACATTGCTGAAAGGAAAGCGTACGCGTTTTAGATGCTTCGGTTTTAAGGTTTTGACCGACGTCCCCCACTTTCATTGGCGCTTCCTCACGCCTTCAAGATCACGCCTTCAAGATCCTCAAATGCTCTCGTACCCCGTCAGCACCTGCCAATCTCCCTCTCCTCCTCCCCCTCCTCCTCCTCCTGTTCTAGAA